CCGATTCATCGATTTTTAAAATAATCGTTAGTTGCAGCCCTAGTTAACACATTGTAATCCCAGTGTTACAATATGAAAAATTAACCCTTAGAAGTGGTTCTAATCTCCCAGCCATGTTTTTTTCTTGTGTGTGTTTTTTTTTAAGTAATTAAGTGGATGTATTATAAAATATGTAATAGGATGAAAAAATAATGAAATATAAGCTACTGTTTGATTAGAAATCATAACTTGTCTCCTTTCAGTGTGAAGGAGCTCCTCCTGAGATCGACAATGGCTTCAGACGGACTCTCTCAAAACCATGGCTCCAAGGGAATCATGACGTTTTATCCCACCAATGAAGAATTCAAGAACTTTAACCGCTATGTTGCGTATATAGAGTCCAAAGGAGCTCATAGAGTAGGATTAGCTAAGGTAACTAATTTCTTCTTGACTATGAGAAAGATTGAAAACATCCAGCTCGATTACACGTGTTTTTGATGCTGCTTGCTAAAATAATCTATGGATCCTTCCTTCAGATTGTTCCACCGAAGGAGTGGAAGCCTCGGGCTTCTTATGAGGACATAGACGACTTGGTGATTCCTGCACCCATTCAGCAGGTGGTGACCGGCCAGTCGGGCCTTTTCACTCAGTACAACATACAGAAGAGAGCCATGACGGTCAAAGAGTTCCGCAGGATCGCCAATAGTGATAAGTAAGACTAGAATCCTATTGCTCATAAGTATTTGTTCAAAGTTAAAAGATTTAACACTGCCAAATACCTTTTGTTTAGGTTCTGCAGTCCGCATTATGATGATTTTGAGGAGCTGGAAAGGAAATATTGGAAGAACTTAACCTTTAACCCTCCTCTTTATGGGGCAGATGTGAACGGAAGCTTGTATGATCCTGTGAGTTTACGCTCTGAGGTCGGCGTCGGCCGAACTGATGCTGGAACATAATTTATTTTTTCATATTCTGTCACGTTCCGGCGGTGACCTGTCTTATTAATGTGTCCTGGCAGGATGTGGAGCAGTGGAATATTTGTCGCCTGGGAACCATTTTGGACACGGTTGAACGTGACAGCGGTATAACCATCGAGGGCGTTAACACGCCTTACCTGTATTTTGGTATGTGGAAGACCACCTTTGCGTGGCACACTGAGGACATGGACCTTTACAGCATCAACTACCTGCACTTTGGAGCGCCCAAATCATGGTGAGACCTTCTACAAATTTCTATTGGAAGCTGTAGTAAATATCGTCTATTCCCCTTCTAGTCTGCTGTTGTAATTTGGAGTGAATTTTTGTTCTATTATTGTAAAGAACATGTTTTCTAAATCAAAATAAAAAAAAAATGCTTTATTTCATATATATGTTTTCTAAATATAAAAGAAATGAAAAAGTGAAATATGCAGAATCCTCCTTAATCCGTGTATGATTCGTTCTTTGGTTTTTTCGTTTCAAATCAAAAACGAAAAAACAAAACAAGTACGTGGTTTTTCTGTTTTTCCGTTTTTTAAAACCTAAATAAAATGAAAAATCGAATTAATAGAAATGAAAAATCGAATTAATAGAAAATCAACAGCGTTCGAGTTTTGTTTTGCCATCTAAATGAAAATAAAATACGGTTGTTGTTTTAATATGTAGCGGTACCGGAAATGAAGTAAGCCTTCAAAGAAAAATAATTTACAGTGGATGAAGACGGCTAACCTGGCTCTGTCAGATGGATTTGCTCCGCATATCCATCGGGAAACCTTCCGTTGCAGTAATTTTGGGAAGGGGCAAAAATACTGGTTAGCTGATTGGCCTATGTTGGTGATAGACGGGCCAAATAAACCAATCAGATCAACGAAGCATATGACGTACTAACAGA